GGCAGCCGCTAGGGACCCTACCAGTGCAGGAATTTTGTGCACTGGGCCTCTAGTACTTTAATAAACTCTTTCTTTGCTAAAATACATATTTTGGTGTATTTGAACTAATATCATTAAGAATACTTCCGATCTACTATATAATTCTAAATGCTCTGTACATATTTCTATAATTGCAAAAAAGTAATTGTATTATTGCTACATATTCTTAGAACTTTGGAATGAAGATAGAGAAGTAAAAGTCATTATTTCTGGGTAAGTGTTTACAGTTTCACAGTAACACATAAATCTTAAATTCCTCAACTCCCAAATAGGAATAAATTTCTACAAAAATTTGAATATTTTTCCTCTTTACTAAGTGGATCCTTAATTGGCTTCATGGACACATTGCTTAAGATCACTGTAAGTGTGAGATGTTGACATGTGTGAATCATGGCAGAAAGCCGAATGGAACAGACTTCTTTAAACAGGATTGCAATCAGTAATCCAAGGTTCACAGGCAGAGCGAGTGCTTTTAGATTCAGACAGAGTGAGCACAGCCCCAGGTGTACACCTCATACCCTCACGACACCCATGAGCGATCCATTTCATAATCAGCGACAGCCTTCTCCAGGACTTTGAATCCTTTAGTTGCTATGGTTGGGCATTTTATTAGGGTTTACCAATGCCTTTAAGAAATTATTACTTCACCCTTGACCGGTTTGGCTCAGTGGATAGAGCGTCCTCAAGGGTCCCAGGTTCGATTCCAGTCAAGGGCATGTACCTTGGTTGCAGGCACATCCCCAGTAAGGGGTGTGCAGGAGGCAGCTGATCGATGTTTCTCTCTCATCAATGTTTCTAACTCTCTATCCCTCTCCCTTCCTCTCTGTAAAAAAATCAATAAAATATTTTTTAAAAAAAGAAATTATTGCTTCTACACTGTTGGTCGTTTTGATTTTCAAGACAGGATTAAAGGGAGTTATGAGACTTCAGGTTTTTAATTTCCATATATTCCATTCCTCAGAGACTTAACAAGTTGTGCTAATAGATAATCCCAAGCATTTAAAAAATGATAAGAATTTTGGAGCAACTCGTGGCTGTATAATTAAGGACAAGCATTCTACCTCAAGCCAGCTGTGTGGTAGGCTAGGCCTGCACCTTATTTTTTGTTGTTTGTTTTAAACAGAAATTTATTTTGAGCAATGCTGGCTTGAGTTTAAGCATTCTAAGTTTGTTTTGGTGAAGGGAGGTTTATGAAACAGTGTTTGCTTCTGGTACATTTGAACTAATATCATTAAAAATACTTCTGAACTACTATATAATTTTTTTGTTGTAAAAAGAAGAATCATTTTCATTTTAGAACTTGGGTATATTTTATGACAACTCTTCTTTTGATTGTTTTCAGGCATTTTAAAAATCTTGGCTAATAGTGTCTTCATGGCTAAACTAATGAAAAGATGCCTTAATTAAAACAGCAGATCAGAAAGTGTTTTACATTATGACAAAAGATTATACTAATCAGATTCAAATGATATCATCTCAGCTGTGTAATGGAAAAAGAGATCAATCAGAAAGATTTCTTTTTATTGCTCAGTTAAGTTATAACATAGTTTATTAAGTGGACAGTACTGGCCAGAGAATAATCAACACTGTTTATTAGATGCTCAAGACAGGTATATTTATGAAAATTAATATTTTTGTAATTATAATTTCTATTTTGGGTGCTCTGTTCAGATTTTCAACTGGCCTTTTTTTCACTGAAAGTGGTCATTCTGAAGTTGACTTTTAATATGCCCCATACAAAGATTGGGAGATAGAAGTTCAGCATTCATACTGTGTTAGAAATTATAAAATATAGTTTTAAAACAAGCTTCTTGGCCTCAGATTGGACAGAGAAAGATGGGCCTTGTTAACACTTCCTTTGGATTAAGACATGATGGAGATCGGCTGTGGTGAGCACACAGGTTCCTGCTTCACTAGCTACACAGGCACCATCTCCCAGCCCCCTCACCACATCCAGCTTCAGCTCCTTCCCTCCTGCTCAGGTGCCCAGCGCCCCCCGACCTACCCCAAGAACCACCAAGCTATGCCCCCTCTGAATCCTGACCCATGGAAACTATGAGAAAATGAGCATTTCTTATTTTAAGCTGTTAAATTTTGGATGCCTTCCTGTGTTTTCTCTAGGACCTTGCTCTGTCAACCTCTGTCTCCCGTGAATTCCTTACTCTCCAGTGGACTCCTTTTGCTCAGCCTGTCTTTTTTCCTTCTTTTTTCCAGAGCAAGAATATTTATCATTTTGTTTCTTTATTACATCTTGCTTCATCTTATAAAGGACTTGAGGTGGCTTATAAAAACACATACAATGCAATAATGTATGAAGTTAGGCTACGATAGGAGAGCTAGAATAAGGAACAATAGCAAGATGAGACACAGCACCTAGGAAAGCAGCCCCCAAGCCTCACAGACTTTCTAAAGGTGGGCTACAAATTTGCTTTTCAGCTGTCAGCAGCCAAACGAAAAGGAGACCATCATCAACGATAAAACTCGTAGTCTGAACAAATAGTGGAAGGTTGCCCAGATGAGGCAAAGCTCTCTTCTTGTCCCCTGATGTCTGAGATAACTTTTCCCCATGAAAGGTCTGCTAAGTCATAAAGTGGACAGTCCTACAGTGAATAGCATAAGGAGTCTTTATGGATCTGTTCAAACAAGGCATAAGGCAATTGTAAGGAACAATGGCAGGGTGGAGGAGGCAGCTTCCCCTTTCCCATCCTGAAGTGTTATAAAACCACTAAAAAACATACCACCACCCTGATTTCATGAGACCAAAAAAAATCTTTTTAACTGTCAGGCAAAAACAACTAAGTAGACACTCAAACTGGAGCACAGGTAGCACCTGCAGACTAACTAGAGGCCCCCCAATAACCCCCTGCCCGCCAGCGGGGCTGGGTTCTCTTCTTTTACACGTTAGCTTTTCAAATACTTTGCGTTAATCAATGATGGGAGTGGAGGGGAAGGTTAAAGCATATTTAATGACCTAAAAACAAACTCACAGAAGAGCATCTATTAATTTTCAAAATTGCAAAGGTTGCCAGACATCCATGAAACTGCCACTGCAGAATGCATTAAAAATGCTGAGTCGTGCAAACAATGGGACATTACTATTCCCGGAGACAGAGAGACTGGCTGGGGTGGGGACGAGCTCCCTGGCCTGGAAGAAGCTGAGTCCAGGCTGAGCGGTCTCTCTGGAGGCAAGAGCTAGTCTAGCGTAGGCACCTTTCTCTAAGGTGTTCTTGAGGAAAGGGCACATCTCCTGGCTCCTGAACGGACTTATTATACATATACCAGAGCGCCTGGCTTTCCGCTTCGTCATCCTTTCCTCTGGGTCTTGCAGGGCTTTCAGCCTCAGAGGCTCCTTGGGAGGAGCATACACACCACAGCTTATGGGGTCAGGAGACACTCGGCTAAGAGGAAGGCCTTACAGAAATGGGACTGAAGCTGATATCCTGACACAGTGTTAAAAACAAGACGAAGGGGTGGTGGTGGCGGAGGTAGAAGAGAGTATGGGGGATCAATGGTGATGGCAGGAGACTTGAGTTGGGGGTAGTAAACCCACAATACAGTATACAGATGATATATTATAGAATTGTGCATCGGAAACCTATATAATTTTATCAACCAATGTCACCTCAATAACTTTAATAAAATAAGAAATAAAAGAAACGAAAACAAGACAACACGCTTCAAGTTACCTATGCTAAGCCCCGATCACCAAATGGAGCCTTACATGCAGGTCCAGCTCTCGCAGAGATGGATCTTCAACCAGTCCATCTGGACTCACCAGGAGAGCACTCGTTAGATTATCTGCCTGCTAGGAATGAAGGTCACAAGTGGCAACTACAAAATGCAAACGCAAGTCTGTTCCCTCGGGGAACAACAAGCCACACTTTGTCCAAAAGCTACAAGAAAAATTCCCCAAGTTTTTTCCCTTTTTCTGTAATGTTTGGGAAGGCTCCTTACTTTTCTAAATTTGTCCATATTCTTTTTAAGTTACTTGGAAACTGGCATCTGCCTTCAGCAAAAATACTTAAACTTCCCCCCTATTCACACATTTCTTAAAAATCAAATACATTATCAGATTTAATAAAATTATTCAAGAAGTGTGCATGATTTACTTCAGGCCTCAGCCCATTTATTTAAAGCTTGTATATAAGGACAGATTGTTATGTTAAAACCTGGGAACAGAGATTGATTCACTATATACTAAACACAGTTGGGTTGAATTATAATCTTTTTTAAAAAAATCCTTACCCAAGGATATGTTTATAGATTTTAGAGAGAGGAAGAGAAAAAGAGAGAGGGAGAAACATGGATGTGAGAGAGAAACATCCATTGGTTACCTACTGCATGTGCCCCAGCCAGGGATCAAACCCAAAACCTAGGTATGTGCCCTGACTGGGAATCGAACTGGAAACTTTTTGGTGTACGGGATGATGCTCCAACCAACTAAGCTAGCTGACTAGGGTAGGTTGAATTATAATCTTAGGGAAAACTTTTGATAAAACTCATTTAATTCTTTAAGATTTACTTATCTCCAAGTAGTCTAACACAGTGCCTGCACATGGTACATGCTCAATAAACATTTATTAAAAAATGCATTTAATTATGATAGAGTTAAGTAATAAAAGACTACATAATTAAACTACCTTCAAATTGCACGGGGAAAAAAAAGGATCGTTTCACAGCTATTGGAAAAGTTTGCTGTGGTACAAAAGCAATGTAAAAATGCAAATTGCCCCCGAACACACACACACACGCACACACACACACACACACACACACACACACCATATTTAAACCAGAAACTACATCTCTTTACTGTTTAACTCCCTTGGCTATATTAATTACATATAAAATTTATAAGATACTGTTAACTGAAAGTTGTAATGAAAGTAACGTCAAGAACATGGCAAAAAAGTTATCACTTATTTTCTAAACAATGATGATTTTTTTAAAAACGCACTTACGCCATTTGGACCGTTGACCCCAGAAATGAGGGTATGCAGTAGTCAGCAGCTGCCAGTGTATATGGGGGGCGAGCAGCAGAGTCGTCCCAGTAGATGTCTTTCTTCATCTTGGGTAAGCTCATGTGCATTTCATCCACAGCCAAAAGAGAGACCTGAAAGCATTGTTGCAGTGTTAGAATCATCCAGATGTGAACTGCAGAAAGAAAGAGAAGACGTTTCGGAGGGTGGATGGGAGTTGGAGTGGGATGGAGCACAGCCCGATGAGTGAAAATACAAATGTCTGTGGTTCGTATTTGTGGCAACCAGGGCCGCTGCAGAGAGTGGGGCTGTGAAACTGCCCAGACGGGGCTCATCAAGACACACGCCTTCGAGTGGAGCTGCTTCTAACCTGGAGGAATGAGAGGCACCGTCTTCTTTGCTCAGAGTTACCACACTGCCCATCCTGACAGCACCCACAAATCCCAGATATCGCAGGAAGCCGAAGATCCTCAATATCCCACTCTGTGGATTTCATAAACACCTTTATACTTGACTAGAGGCCCGGTGCATGAAATTAGTGCACTCGGGGGCGGGAGGGGTTCCCCAGCCTGGCCTGTGCCCTCTCACAGTGCGGGAGCCTCGCAATCCATCTCCCATAAGAGGTAGGCCCCGCCCACCCATCCAGGGCTCCTTGATGGATGGCCCCAAAGAGGTTGGCTGGAGCTGGGGGTCTTGCCTCTGCACTGCGCAAAGCTGCCGGGACCCACACACAGTCTCCTGGTGATGGACTGTTACGGCGTGGGGGCATCACAGCGTGAGGGAGTGACGACCACATAGGCTTTTATTAGTATAGATATCATTTCTTATATACTTTGAACTTTTGTTTGTTTGTTTGGAAAAGTGTATCAACACCTTATCCTGCTTGGGGCTATAGTGGTCTCTCCTCTTTGACAATCTGATGCATGAGTGACTTATTAACCCTCTGGGAATTCAAGTTTTACAGAGTGAGTGGCTTAGGCTTCCTCCCTAGCAGACTGACAGTGTGATTATTGAGGGAGGTGATGGAGACGATGTGACCTCCAGGTGACCCAGAAGCTGGACCTGGGCAGTTGGAGGCTCCTCACCCAACTGTCCTGTCCTTGGAATGTATGTCCTGGTCACAGTGGAGCTGCTCTCGGGGATGCAGGCTGGAGAGAGCAATGTGTTGTTGAGACCATCAGAACAATATACCTGACGGCACCCAGCCAGTTAAGGCCTCTGTATAAACTTTGAAGCTTCTGCCAGGTGGGTGAGGACATATGCTGATCTGGTGATCACCCAAGACAAGCCTCGTATGTATGTAAGTGTCCCATTGCTTATTAAACCTGCTGCCCGCCAATCTGGAGTGGCCTGCCTCTTCCTCCAGTCTCTCCTTGCCCTCCCTGTACAGGGGCCAGTTTGCGAGCCAACAGTGACTGATGATGAAATGTTTGAACCTGGTTAAGAGCTGAGTAAGGGCTCAAAACAAATAGATGAGCTGAAGGCCTTCCACAGGCTGTGGTTCTCAGGGGAGAAAATGGTCTGAGGAGACCATTCTCCTTATCTTTTGCTGGTTCTTCATGGGAAACCTCTGTGGAATAATGCTTCAGGGAAGGGGCCGAGGTCCCCTTGGTGTGACACAGGCAGATCTGAGATACGGGCCAGTGTGGCCCAGGCTCCCAGCGTCCAGCTGATGGACATCTGATGGCAGGGACCTACGTGACGTGAGTTTGGGAACTCACATCAGATTGCGTCTGGCTGCCATTATGTCACTGTTAACTTCTCTGGGTGGCAATGGAAAACAGATTAAAGAATGCATTAATATATTGTTTTGTTCTGAAGTGGAAGAGGCTGTATAACATCTATATATATAAAAGCCTAATATGCAAAGTGTCCCCTTGGGAGTTCAACTGACTGGGAGTTCAATTGCTTGCTATGACATGTGCTGACCACCAGGGGGCAGTGCAGAATGAAGAAGGCTCCAGCTGGTGGCCAGCAGCCGGCAGCCTCGAATTTTGTGCACTGGGCCTCTAGTTAATAATAAAACTTAACACTAGAAAGACTGAAATTTAGTATATACCTATATTGCCCAAAAGCAGTCAAAATGACTGCATTGTGAAATATATCCATAG